TGGTCAATGTAGCTACAATTGCTGCCAGGTACATACATACACACACACACACACACACATGCACACGCGCACGCGCGCACACACACACACGCCCGCACTCACGCACGCACGCACGCACGCACACGCACGCGCACACACACACACACACACACACTGTTCTCACACCTCTGCCGCCACCCGTGTGAGACACTGCTTGTCGTTGCTTTTATGTCTCATTGAACAGCTGCTGCCCTCGGACTTAAACTGCATTATGAGCGTTTTAAGTACCTTTTAAATTGTTTTCAAAGTCACTATATTATAATTTAGTACTGGCAGACAATGTAGAACAAATATGCTGATAATGATACAGACGTCATGTCTTTATATTCTGTAATTTAAATCAGAGCTTGCCCAAAATGTCCTCTCTTTGTGGACATTTCCTACCTTTCTCTATTTGATATTACTCTGCAGGTTAATCACAGTTTAAATTATTTTTCTTTTGAACACATTTAATGTTAGTCTTGTTTCTATCATGACTACACATTAGCACATTTTCCGGGTGGTGTTTTGATGTGTGTTTTGTGTTGTGTGATATCATGTGCCTGTAGTTCACTCTTCTTCCCAGCAGAGAGAGCTCAAGCTGGTGTTTTATTGCATTGCACATCTGTTCAGAATGTAACCTTCATTTGTTGAAAATGTAGCTAGAAAATCAAAAATTGGTAGTTATTACCATTTCTCTCTCTGGCATTTCACTAGAAGTTTCACTTGCTTCAACCCTGCTGATGCAACTTAACCTGATACATATTTTATTTTCTGTGGCAGTTTGAAATCCTTTGCAAAATACATGGAATAGTTGAATACAAACATGGCTGTCTGTGTCTCCATCTCCATGTGATTCACTGTGATGGATGCTCTGACATATGTCCTCATGGGAGCAATCACTTTCTGCTATATTTCCCCTTCAAGTCAACACAGTGGAAGAAACAGCAGCACTTTAGGAAGGTCATACACACACACACACACACACACACACACACACACACACACACACACACACACACACACACACACACTGGCAGATATGCATGAGGTTTCAAGGGAGTGGCGCTCTACTACTTTAAAAATGTCCGATCTTTTCACCTGAATGATTTACCCTTTGCACAGGATAGCACTTGATACGATGGGTAAGACTCGTTATTATTTTGCACTTTTAGCAGTTTTTTACTCAAGATACTGTCAGAAAACTCACAGTGATAATAGCGGTTTTTGCTTTTAAAGAGTAAGAGTTAATTCCTTTATTGTTTTTTCTCTCTCCACAGTACAATAGAAACGACCTTCGACACCACCGTAACCACGGAGGTAAATGGGCGGAGTCTCCCAGCCCTCACCACACGCTCCTCCCCCATGGCCTGGCGTCTCGGCCAATCACAAACCCCGCGTCTCCAGGCGGGCGACGCCCCCTCAATGCCCAGCAGCTACGCGGCAGCGCCCAGGGCGACCACGACGAGCGCCGGGTGCACCACAGGGCGCTACACTGGGCACTCTGACACTTCCAGGTTTGTGTTCAGAAGAGGGGTGAGGGGGGCGGAGCAAGGGGAGAATGGAGGAGGAGGAGGAGCAGGAGGAGGAGGAGAAGGAGATGAAGGGCAGCAGTCGGAGATGGAGATAACAGGGTACTTGAGTGAAGGAGATATCCTAGGGAGGAGCAACCGGACCAATGAGATCACCAGCGGGTAGGACGACTATAGCACTTAGCATGTTAGCTTCCTCTGATGCACTTCTGACTTCTGACCTAAATGATGGTGCCAAAATGTATATTGTTAGCCTAAATTAAACTTGCTTCTGTTTGGTTGAGGTAGGTAAAAGTATTTGTTGCCAAAAAAAATGTATATTGTTTGCCTAAAATATCCTACGAGCGGGTAGGACGACTATAGCGTTTAGCATATTAGCTTCCTCTGATGCACTTCTGACTTCCTGCTTTAAATGCCGACGTTTTTATTTGTAAATGATGGTGCCAAAATGTATATTATCACGTATAATGCATCGGAGCACTGGCTAATAGAAGTGCCAGTGTTCCATAGTGATGTCACTGTGTTCCCGGAACTCCTATGAAAACCTATAGAACACACTACAGGAAAGGGAAAACCCCCCAAAAATCACGATAGGGCCTCTTTAAGTTATATTCTAACAGACTGTATGAGAAAAAGAGACACTCGAGAAATTAAACACGTTCTAGTATGAATCCAAAATATAAGTATGGACCCGAAAGCGAGCAGAATATGTTCCATTTTATATGATTTGGCCTTCTTCTTCCTCTTTACTAACTGAAACACTTGTTTGATGGATCATGAATACAAGTCACATTTTTCTATTCAATGCCGCAGTGCATGGGTTTAGTGGAAATGGTTGGATGTGTGTTCATAGAGTCTCCAAGGCCTCAGCTTTCTGTGAACATTAATACAAAGGGCAAGCTAACATCCACCAAGGCTGTCATCGTTTGTCTTGCCATGAAAGTGAAGCGTGCAACTCGAGGCCACGCCATTCGCTGACAGATTAGCTGAATGGAAATAGATCCGGAAAACATCACGGCAAAATGTGTGTTTGCTTCTGACCTTCATTCTCACCATAGCTATTAAAGCAGTGAGCATATGAGAGTTTTGTCAAAAAGGCAATTCACATAACACGTCAGAAAGGAAAAGTGATTAGCTAAGCTTAATTAGCTAAATGCTAATGGTCTCCATGTCCTATCAGCCGTGCCTCAAATCTTACCACTTACTCTGTGCCACATCCACACATTTAACAGGGCTCTTGCGGATCCTTTAAAAAGGCTAAAAGGCAACAAAAAAGGCCTTAATTGGTACTAAATTGTGTTAAATCAATCTTCAAAAGTCTTAAAAATGATACAAAATAGATTGTATCAGAAATCAGAATACCTTTATTAGTCCCACAGAGGGGAAATTTGCAGCGTTACAGCAGAAAGAGTCACAGACTAGTGTTCGCATATCTTACGTGCGTTAAAAAAGTACTAAGTTGTAATATAATAAACAATATGCAAAAAAAAACATTAAAAAGTTACATAATTTTCAAAAATACAGATCAAAAACAAATCAAATCTACAAATCAAATCCTGTAGCAGTTCTTAGGATTTAACAGCCCGGTATATATTACAGTTATTAAAGATGGCATGTATATAAAGTATATATTGCACATAGTTTGACGGTATTTAACAGCAGCAAGTTACACAATCTACAAAATACAAGATAGACACCTTGTAACAGTAACAAGGGTTTAGCAGCCAGGTATAAATTACACAGTTATTAATGGCATATATCTATTGATTGATTTAGTGGCCAGGTATAAATTACATAGTTACAAAGTCATTTTGTTATTAATATTTTTGTCTTACTTTACAATTTCAAATCTCCAAAAATAACTATAACTTCGATTTTATGTTTATTTTATTCTTTACTGAATGCCCTTTTGCAATAATGATAATATTCTGTTTGCATCTGAAGTGCTGGAAGCAGGCGGAAATGCTAATTCAATGAAGTGTTGCTGTTAGGATTTAACATGTAAGATTTGGCTGAAAAAAGATACCCTATATATTTCTGGAGAAAAATGTGGTGCATAAGTGTATTTTATTTTCAATATTGATTACTACAAAGTTGGTGTTTATTCTCAGGAAGTAGTTTTGTTCTACATGGTGTTTAAAAAGTCTAAAAATCCAACTTACCTCAAGCTGTAGAATAAGGATTTGATAGGCTTTCGCAAAAACAAAAAGTTGCTTTTGTATCAGTATATCCACCATGTCACTGTATTCCCTTACTGGTTAAGTTTATACAGAACAGAGGTTGGCCAACTCAAGTACATTTTATTTAAACATTTACTTTCTGTCCACCACAGCATCTTCACCCTCTTATTTGATTTGATAGGCTTTCACAATTTTTTTTAACGTTTTTGCCGAACAGAGGTCAGATGTGTCAAGTCAATTTCATTTATAGTTACTATCTTTCCGACACAGCATCTTCATCCTCTTATTATTCCCCCTCTCACAGATACCTTACCGACGGCGGCCTTCACCTGTATTCGAGGAGCGCAGGCCGAGCCTCGGACTCTTCTACTTCTCAAGATGTTTCCCAGAGAGGCAGCAAAGAGATGCAGGGCGACATCGACAGGTAGGCACAGAGTCAATACCTCGCTTTGATGATTTGATGTTGCTATGGACGATGACACTGGAAACATAGAGGGACAATCATAGACATACAGATGTGGGGACATTTCTACATTTGTGTTCAGATTTTTTGAATGTCCCGGATGTCACAACTAAGTAACTTTGTGCGTTTACTCAACTACATCTTTGAGGTACTTGTACTTTACTTGAGTGTTTCACTTTGATGCTGCTTGATACTTATACTACAGTACAATTTGTAAGCAGATATTGTACTTGTACTCACACTTATTTGACACTTTTAGTTACTAGTTACTTTGCACATTCATATTGTTTATTACAAAACAAAGTATGACATACTCTAATGCAGTGGTTCCCAACCTGGGTTAACTAACCCCCTTGGGGGGGCACCAAAGATCGCAGGGGGGGCGCCAGGCCTCAGATGATTTGAGGCCAAATATCATATTTAGACTTTTTTTTTACATTTTCTTTTTTACATATAATTGTAAGGCAATACATGATTGTCACTAAAAGCCTTGTCTCTACATTAAAATAAAATATAAAAAATAATTTATTAATTAATTTTAATAAAAATTCAAGTTAGTAATAAAGGCATAAAAAGAAAGAAATGTATAATTCTTTCTTTAATAGAAATGTTTCTTCTGTCCGTAAAGTGTCCAAACCGGGCTTTTCTGGATAAGCGCATTTTTAAAACATAGTCATCGTCCATGCCGATTTCAGTTGGATTATTTGTCACAGTTGCTCCGATCAGATCGGTCTCCTCCATTTTGTAGATTATTTACAACTTTTGAATCCACATAAACACATCGGCAAAATCCGGCTTACTTTGAGCATGTGTTTTAAACAGTTTAATCCCTTTGTGAATTGTTTCCACTTCCGCCGTCCTTTAATTTCTTCATACAGCGGGAATCCAAATGAATGAATCCTGAGTCCAATAACCATCAAAGTCACTCCAATAGAGGCTTGAAGGCATTCCTTTAGACTTTTAAACTTTAATTACCGCTGTTGCCCCCCCCCCTTTGTGTGTGTGTGGGGGGGGTGGGGGACATTAAACAGACACTAATGCAATGTCCAACAATCTCAGTAAGTAATATTATTACTATAACATTTGTAAATAAACAGACCCTTAATGGGATGATAATTTAGAGAAACGCCCCCGGGACAAAGACTCTCCTCTCGTGAACTTTCCACTTCCGGAGCAACATCCACTAACTTTTAAACAAATTCTTATCATCCTCAAAACTTAATATTCCTTTTTTGATAGTATGGGAAACTAAATTGGATGTCAGCCTCATGCAGAGGAACGTCATACTGAAGAAGGTTAGGAATAAATCTGTTTACAGTTCTGTGTTGAAGGATGTATCCATAGATCTCTTCATCATGCTCTCAAAGTGCAACAGAATTGATACATTTAACTTCAATATTTATTAAAATGCTTCCAGGGGAGGCCTTGCGCTCACGGAACGCCCCTTATGTGAGGTCCCGCACACACCAAGCCCGCTATAAAAACTAGATAGCTTTTAACCCCGCATGCTATAGCACTATATGTCCGTGAGCCTGATTATCGCGCCCTTCATTGTAACAGTCGCGGTACAGCTGTGTGTGTGCGTGGGGGAGTGTTGCAGTTAGAAAGATTCGGCAGGCCTGTAGCAGCCGGTAACAGTTAATGGGAAACGCCTTAAAAAGCCACCTCCCTTGAAACGTCAAGCCTACCCGCGCAAGCAGCACCCCAATAAAAGAAATCTCGTGGCCGCCGCCCACTGAGGGCCTGAGCTATTTGTGTTGGGGGGGGGGGGCCCGACTTTTTTTTCCAAAAGGGGGCCTGAGGCAGAAAAGGTTTGAGAAAGCCACTGGCTCTAGAAGAAGGTTATATATAAAATAAGTAATAATAAATATAATAATGATGCACAATGGCCCCAAAGTGCAACAATTTGGTAACGGGCCCTAAATAAAGCAGAGCTGCGCAGTTGGTGCCCTGATAGCGTTTAAATCTGAGAGATGCAGCGCGGAGCAAAGACTCCTTTCTCGGCATCTGTATTCCTTTCTTTGTTTTTTTAGCTTGTTTTCATATTTTACTTTTTAATGATTGTTTTTTAATGTATTTAAAAGCCGTTTTACCAATGTGTTGCCTCGCTGCAGCTAATTTCTTAAATGCTCTAACGGTTTATCTTGTTTGTGTTAAGGCAGCTTTGAATTCCTTATATATAGAAATGCTATGTACATAAAGCTTGCATGTCTAAGAAAAGCCTCAAATCCACACTATAATCATTTTAAATATATTTTGCAATCATGGTATCAAAATCTCTCATCCCCGTGCTCAAATACTCTGAATGATATCAGCATGGCCTTTCTAAGAAAGATAATACTCAACTAGTCTTTTTTGCTGAAGTGCGGTCGCAGCCCGCTAAGTTTGAAGAAATAGATCAAGTCCTATTTGCTCGTATTGTGCAATGTACGAGGCGGTAGGTCGAATGTGCGCTGTCGCTGGGCGGCCTGCTGTGCAGGAGGAGTAGTTAAGTGCAAGAGGCTTTCAGGATGTGGGCTCGGGCAGCAGAGTCGTCGGCATTGGGGATCGACGGAGCCCCGTCGTGTACTCCAGACGTGAAGGGGAGTCTGTGGTTCACCCAGAATAAAGGCAGAGACCTTGTAGTCATCGGCTGGGGGGGAAATAAAAGATTTTAAAAGCATGTTTAGACCCACGAGTATTTCATAAACACCATCCAAAGCGCAGGTATCACACCCACTCTACACGGAACATTAGAGCCAATCTGTTAAGCAGTCAGAGAGTAGTCTCATTTGTTGTTATAGAGATGATATGAGTGCCGAGGTTAAAGAGGCCCGCCAATTATGCTCATTTTAACGGTTTATATAAAAAATTGTGCTTCCTACTGTGAGCAGGATTTTAGCCTCTGCAAGACGCATTTACTGCACACAAACGCTATATGACACACGATAACCGTGGAAAACCAGCAAAAAAGCATATTAGAAAATAGAAGAGAAGAAGTAATGACAAGCAATACTAAACAATTTATCGGTACGACTTTAGATTAAAGGTACATAATTCATCCATCCAACTAAGTTGGCTAACCTAACACGGGCGATATTCAGAGACCCAACTACCGATCTTATTAGGGAACATATTCTGAGTTAGAAACGGGGACCTGATTTATAGGCTATTTTTGAAACCAATTATAATAATAATAATACAATAATATTGGGAGGGATGGAAGCCCTTTTAATGATCTCAGGCATGCAGAGCAGCACCCCAGTGACCTGTGTTCTCTGCTTTTAACCCCCCCCTACACCGTACCAGGGAGTCTAGGGGGTTGTCCGTGCCTGCTCAGGGGGCCGGCCAACGGCCGGGCAGGAAGGTGAACTGGGACGCTCTCCAAGTAAGCAGTCGGCACACTCCCATAATTTAGTTCTGTCGACTGAAGCGGCGACTGAACGGCCTCCAGTCCAGCCGCCTACTCGACTGAGACAGCCCTTGTAGTTTCTATGTCTTGTTAGCATAAGGGCCACATTTGATAGGTGGGAGGGTTACCTATTCCTGTGTGGTACTGCTGCTGCATATGAGCCATATTAAGACCACTCATGTAACAACAACGTCGCTTAACGTACAATAAATAAGAACTCATTAAAGGGTTATTGAGGAAAGAGCTGCAACTAAATGGCTTAGTACGTTGTAGAATATGGTCATTGTAGAGTAAGGGCATTAATTACAAGTGTCTTATAGCTGACTAAATGAAGAGGCCGGCTAACCAAGCAACTAGTATGATGGTGAATTGATGTACGCCTTAATATAAGGTGTTACCCAATGTATCTTAAGAAGCTCTCCCAGTTTGCCATGGTTAGATAAAGATTTTAACCACTGCGGCGGTTGACATAGTGGCCGGAAAATAAACAAAGCTGTGCTGACAGTGTGTAAAACATTTCCACAGCGCATCCCTGTCTAAGAAATGAAGTCATACGTGTGGTTTTTATGTCCACCACTAAATTAGATGTAGCTTGATATACTGTATAGTACTCGGATCCAGTCAGAACAGGAAGTAGCGCATTTAAAGATAAAGTAGTCAACAGCAGCACTTCAGACTAATTGCTATTTGGCAGCACATGAAAGCATCTCTAAACCAAGGCCCTCACAATGTTCTGAGACCGAC